AAGAAGAAGAAGAAGAAGAAGAAGAAGAAGAAGAAGAAGAGGAAGAAGAGGAGGAAGAGACAAGAAAAGGAAGAAGAAGAAAGGGAAGGGGATGAGGATGAGGGAAAGAACAAAATCAAAACGTAATCATGAAGTTACAAAATAAAACATGATATGAAAAACTGATTCATCAAGTAAGAAAATAAAGAATTGGGAAGACGATGGTAGTCTGAAGAAAGAAAAATATATAGTAGAAAGATGTAGATATGGAAGCAAGAATATGGGAAGAGGGTAAACTAATAAAAATCTATAATGGAGAATAAAGGAACTACATAAAAAGGATCAATACGAAGGATATACATGATAAGCAAAAACTGAAGAGAAAAAAAGCATATTACAAAGACTGAATAAAGAACAAAGAATTAGGTCCTTTGAAGAAAAAAGGTACATAGATGAGATATATAGAAATATCTTAAGAACTAACAGAAGGTGGAAAACAAAAACATAGGAATGGGTAAACGAAATAAGGAGGATAAGAGGAAGAAATAAAGGAAAGATGTCAAAACCTAACAATACACAGTATTAGAGGAATAGAGAGAGAGAGAAAAATGAAATGAAATAAAACCAAAAATACAAGGCAAAGAATAAAATACAAAATAAAGGGAAAGATCTGAAGGATACTAAACAAAATGCAACCAGGGCATTCAAAAATACACTGGAAAAATAAAGCCAAAGAAATAAACCCAAAGATTATACAAAGTTATTTGCCAAAAGGAGTTCTGGGAGAAGCTTGAAATCAAATAGTAGTAACCAACAGTTAGAAATTAGCAAGGAAGAGCAAGGGACATGATTATCAAGGTTAAGCTATTTGAATGGACTTTTTCAAGGGATGCAGTAAACGAAAATAAAAAAAAGTAATAACATATAAAGTCAAACTATAACTCATTTGAGAAGAAAACAGACCCCCCCCAGACGTGGCATGTGCTGGGTGGGTGAGGGAAGTCTCTACCTGGTCTGTGTGCTGCCATAGGATTGCACTGGGGTAGTGGTGGCAGTAGTAGTAGAAGGGGGCTGTTGGCCGCGCACCGGGTAACTTACACCATCGCCTAGACTAGAATAACAACAAGAGAGTACATATTCTTAAAGGCATGACGCTGGGAATGGGATTGATGGAGGTTGCTTATGATGCGTTGATGACCAGTACACAACATCCACAATATTTCAACTCTATAACTGCTAAAGAAGTTAACAATGGCATACATTACACCAATAACAATAATGACCAAACTAACATTACAAACATAAACAGAGAACATTTTTGGTAATCTCTTTTTAACAGGACAATTATCTATATTTTTAACACTTTTATTTCTGCCTCTATTCTGTTATTTAAAACACTTATGCTACAAACTACTTTTTCAATTAATTCATATTTATTCATAAATATAAAAACTAAATAACCCTTATTACATGACCACCTCTGAAAACAAGTGCTAACTAAATACTTCTATTTAGAGTTAAACCTCCTAAGAAACCTGAGATTAAGATGCTGGACCCCCTGCTATCTCATTAACACAATTTTAAAACCCCATTAATGTCTACATATACTACAATATATTTCAAGACAATCTATTCTACAGTTTATAAAAAAAGCTTAGCACTTGCTACTTGTTATGCCTAATGAAAGCTCTGTGCAAGTGATGTGTTTGGTGGTATAGTGCATTCATTCCTATTTAAGTATGGGCTGAAGTGTTAGGACCTACCTTCATTACATCTAGCTAATGCTTCCTCATTCAAATATTACAAGATGTAAAGTATGCTCAGCAACACCTCTGCCTATACAAGGTTACTACTCTGACTACCACAAATTATTGACAAACATTTTGACCACTACTACTTTATATGATATAAATATATAATGCAACCATTTACATAATATTTAGAGAAGGAAAATTAAAAATTCTTCTCTATTTTTCCACACAATTTCTTAGTTAATGGAACAAAAGCTAAACAATGTTTCAGAAACATAGTTAAACACCTATTCTCTAAGTTTCCATTAACATCCACAATTTTTCCCTATGGTACAATATCAATTTTCACAGGCAAATCCTTTTTAGTATATTAATCAACAAAATTATTTCATTATCTAATAACATTTCTAACATTTTACAGACAAGGATGCTATTATTGAGAAGAAACTACTCATAAATATGTTTATACATAAAATATAGCTATATTAGTAGGATACTGCCTTTAATATCCAATTCTCATTACACTGTTGGGCAAAAAAGGATGTAAACAAATCCAAGGATATTTTCTAATGCGGTGTTCTTTGTTTATTAGAAAGACTAACTATGGCTTGTACTGAATGATCCACAACTGATGCTTGTGAATATGGTTAAATAGTTAGCAATACCTGCCTGCAATACCACCTCATCCTGCCGAGATGAGAACAACAGGGTTAAGGTGACAAGCACGCCAAGTACAGGAAAGAGAATGCCTAATAGAATATGGAATAATAAAAAAAAAAAAAAAAAAAAAAAAAAAAAAGAATAAGAAAAAAAGAAGAGGGAATTTTTGAAAAAAATTAATTGAATACCTGACATACGAAGTATATGTGAATTATGAGCAAAGTATCTTAATTTTTGCAAGGAAACAATCAACTAGTTTTGCCTTCCCGTGTGTAAGAAAGTGTAAGAAACGAATCCTAATTCTATAATAATATCAAGTGAAAATTTGCAATATTAAATCAAACAGAGAATAAACAATACGAAGGAAGACATATTTCCAACACCATAGAAAATCTATTGCATAAAGCACAACAGCCATACACAACACACATACAAGGAAGGTTTTTTATGATGAGTGGCAAGGCCTCCAGCTGGGAAATCTCTTTCATTAGGATAATGGCCATGCAGCTCCAAAGACATTACACAGTCCTCAAGAGTCCTTTCTTCAATATCTAATAAGTTTCATCTTTCCCTTATGTGTGTAAATATGTCATGTATTTTTCAGACCCCACACCCCACCACCTCACTGAATAAGGAAGAGAAAAACAAATGCATTTTCATTATATACTTGACCTTTTTAAAATCAAGAATACAAAATGAATACTTTAATACACTACACAGTAGGTAGACATGTATTGTAATATGTAAATCCTTTCAATCTTACATTCAGGTAATTTAGCCAAACCACAAGACATCATTGGGATTTATCATATATTCTTTTAATGTTTGATATTAATTATTTTTCTGTTCATATAAACTCATTCAAGAATATTATTTGCAACAACTTTTGCATGTATAGTGTAAAAAACAGAATGAGACTTAAGTAAGGAGAACAATCCTCCAAGGAATCTTTCATGGAATATGTTCAAGCATTTGGCTGTTTCCCTGATAGTAAGTATAAATCTGTTTTCCTTTGGCATGAGTCTCAGACAGTCTGGCATATGCTCTTTCACTCTCTCTCACATGTGTGCACCCGTGTCCACTCATGCCTTTCTTAATATACACACTACTCATGTGCACACAAAACACACAAAAGCAAGCATTAACTGAACTTTTAAAAAATGCAACTCCCATTTGATACTCTTTAAAAAAAAAGCAGACAACTGGCATGATATATAAATTTCACCTGAAATATTCGTGTAGACCACTTTCTCTCCCAATATTCTTGCTTAACTAAAATCAAATAAAGTGCCCTTTTGGTGGTGCATATCCATCTGGGGATAGATATTTTTCTCCGCAACATAAATGCATAATCAAGCTGGCAAAATATAATAACAGTAATAGTTTGTATGGAAAAATTAAAAAAAAAGAAAAGAAAAGAAAAAAAGAAAAAAAGAAAAAAATAAAAATAAAAAACAACAACTAATAAACAATAGATAAAAAAAATAAAAATGATAATGATGAAAATATATAATAATATTAATGCTAATATTATCAATAATAATAATAACAATAACAACAACAACAATAACAATATTAATGATAATGATGATGATGATGATGATAATAATAATAATAATAATAATAACAATATCATCATCATCCTCATTACTACTATTAATAATCACTCAAGTGATAAAGAATATAAAAACCATAAAAAAAAAACAAAAAAAAACAGAAGTAATCAATAAAATACATCCAAACAACCACTGTACTCACCTGGTGGCTACCGGCAGGAACCACAACTTCTTGTTGTCGCCAAACACTTCCAGAAAGTTGTTGTATGCACCCAAGCTAAAACCATCTTTGTCTTGGACCCACGTGTGACTCAGGCGGAAGATCGGTGCACGGAAAGACTCTGTTTGACATATCAGCTTTCTATATCATTCTATTCAATTGTTCAGCTAAAATCTATTTAACACTCATTTAATTCTCTTAAATATTCTTGGTTTTATGCAAAACTGAAAGCTGGCATCAAAGTATTCTACCATTTGATCAAATGCAAGTCCCCTTACAACGAAGAATTATTAAAACATTATACATCAAAAGCCAACACACACAACCAAGTACAGTCCTAATGTAAGACATCAATAAAATTCAGCTTGGTCTCATATTGTTCATTGAGCATACGTATCAACAATGTTATAATATATCTACAAATAAATCTAGCCAGCAAAATGTGCTACTGATAAAAATGTAAGTATACAGCACTAATGCAGCCATCTACCATATTGGAAGGTCTTGCTACACAATTTTCTTTAGTATAGCTGCTAATGCTATTAAACAGGAAAAATAAAGTGGGATTATTTAGTAAGAAATAGAACATCTCTTACATTGCAGCAATCAAAAAAGAATAATGTAATTTGTTAGCATATTTCATTTTAAAAAATCATCTGAAAACTTACAGATAAATTTTTAGCTATTTACTTACATTTCTAAAGGAACCTTTTCTATTTCTGAACAATTGTCAAAAATATTGAAGTTTTTGAATTATTTTACTATGGAATTTTGTTTTGGGTAACTAAATTTAGTCATTATGCATTCACATACTCCTGCTTAGTCATTAATGTTTTGTTGCTTAACCCAATAGATCCAGTTAATGTGACTATCACATCATGAAAATTTGGCTGAAGGCAGGAATTCCTTGCCATGAATACACAAAGCTCTTGTTGGATGATTGATGTCAGTGTGAAGGGGCTTTTACATTATTTCCACTGGAAAACAAGGGGGAATGTACCATCCATGAGACAATGCAGGAAGAGCACTGGCTCCAGGGAGGACACTATTTCCATGCTTAGGATCCTATTCCTGCCTGCCATGACCAGCAGGGCAGGGTGTGTTACAGAAAACTGAATATAAAAAAATATAAAAATGCCACAAATAACAAGTTACTTTTATTATTCTTATTGCATAGAGCTGCAGACTACCTAAAGGTATAAAATGGAGTCTCCTCCAGGATAACAGTCTATTGCCTCATTTGAGGTCCTTGGATCAGGTGAGTTAATGTTTATCAAAAACAAATTTGGTAATTTTTGTAAAATTATAATGTGAAAGGAGAAACAAAATAACAAGGGAAGGGAAAAAAATAGAGAAAGAAAAGGAGAGGAAGAAGCAGAGGGACTTGGGGAAGAGATTATGGGAAATTAACAAACTAAATTGCTAAAAGAACAAAGTAGGTGGGGGTAAGAAGATAAGGTATAACAAATCAATAGTACTTACCCAGAGTGGACCTGTTCTTGGAAACAAGGAAGATGTGGTATCCAAACAAGGATACCAGACTGATTGCAAACATGATGGATACAAAAAAGACAAACAGTATGTGGAACTTTCCTGACACTTCTCCCAACTGATTCTGTTAGAAAATAAAAACATTTGTCATAATTTGGAAACTATAAAAGTTGCACCTTATCATAAAAATCAATAACAATCAAGAGAAGAAGGACACTAGAATGTCCATCAATTAGATCCACATCTCACTTACCTTCCAGGATTTGATGAAATATTGCAAAGTGGTTGCAGCAATGAAGAGGCAATAAATAAGAGCATAGCCCAAAAATAAGACAAAGAATTTGTAGTTTGTGAAGGCAACACAATTATTGACCCAAGGGCAATGATGGTCTAGCTTCAGCACACACTCTCCACAAACTGAACAGTGGTGACTTCTGTCTGGCTTGATCTGGACACATTTCTCACAGTAACGTATATCTGAAAGGAAATACAACATACTGATTAGTAAAATCTATGTGGTAGTATGTATTGAACTTCCCCCATTTACGGAAAGCAAGAATATATTGTCAAAGATATACCCACATGAACTGGGGAGGGAAACGGAGAGAGTGATAAAAAGGGGAAAAAAAGGGAGGGAGGGAGGCAGAGGGCAAGGGCAGAAGAAGAAGGTTAAGGGAAAACACAGGGGACAAGGGGAGAGGAGAGAAGGGAATATAGGGTAGCGGAGATGGACAGAGGAAAACAGAAATAAGGAAAGGAAATAAGGGAAAAGGCAGAAGGTGGAGAAAAAAAAAAACAACAACAACAGAACTAAATCATTTCGAACAATTACCTCCTGTCATAGTGCGATTGTACACAGGGAGTTTGTTCTTTTCAGTAAATCTCTCCAATATGTCACGTCTAACTTCATCACTTTCTGCAGCCTCATACCTTTCTAGTTCAGAGGGCGGTAGTCGGAACTGGAAAAGAAGAAATATCAAAAATTATACTCAAAAGTAAAAGCAATACCAATCTCTGAGGAAGTGAGAGCTTAAAAGACTTTAAGAACTCAAAACATGTTGCACTCCAACCTGGCTCATGAAATAATTATCCTAATGTTACAATACAAATAATATATAAACAATTTGCACTTAACCGGTAAATGGCAATTACATCTAACACTTCCGCAATAATATTTGCAATGCAATGAACAGTGATCACATACAATGTATATTCTACATTTCTTTGGCCAGTATGACGCATAAAAATGCCATTTCCACCTCTGGGATTTTCAATACTTTTTAATAACATGGATTCCACATACCTGTTTGGGTACTCTGCCAATTTCTGTGAAAATTGTCTGCCAATATGCCCACAGGAAGAGGAACAGCAGAATGTGGTAAACAAATAAGTAAAAACCTGAAATGAAGTATGTTACTTAGTAAATAATCTAAAATCATTGTAATGTATCAAATAACCACTTAACAATATATAAACATGTATATATGCATTTGTGTATGTATGTATGTATATATCTACACACACACACACACACACACACACACACATATATATATTTATCTATCTATTCATATATATCTCTATATATTCATATATATTTACATTTACATCTACATTTATATTTATATATCTATATTCATATAATATATATCTATAATTTTATGTATATACATATATAATATATACAGTATATATGTATACATTATATATATATATATATATATATATATATATATATATATATATATATATATATTATATATAATATATATATATATATTATATATATATATATATATATATATATATATATATATATATATATATGTATATATTTATATAT